CTTCATTGCCTTCTCTCGATTGAAACGATCCACAAAAACGGCTCGGGACTGCAACAATGCGAGAACATCGTGACTGCCTACTCAATACAAATTAGCAGCAAAAAAAAATCAAAATTTTTGCGATCAGAAATCCCTTTCTGGAACTGATCGCAACTTTTGGTGTAAGGAATGAAGCAGTGACGGTTTCTTTTTCAATGAAAAAAACTATGAAAGACTCACCAAAAATGAAGCAAAATTGAAGAATGGTATATATTTCAGTGACTGCTTCATCATTACTGTACAACGAGGTGGCCAGAAGTGTGAGAGAACAACAATATCCAGGGAACTCTGGAAAGTACCATAAGATACTTCGCTGGAAGTGCCAAATTCGAGCTAGGAGGACGAAAAACTTCTAGTTTCTTACACACGGAACACTTGGTGTCATAAGTCAAGATGCAAAAGCTTCCTGTTTGTATCAAAGATAAAACGGCCGGTAGCGAAAGCTTGCTAAAAAGTACCTGATGATTACAAACAAATACAAACGGCCCTTGCCGCCGTAGAATATCTGCATTCCGAACGATAACATCTACTCCTGTCCAAGCGGTCAAAACGCGATATGAGTCAAAGATGAATTTGCTCACCTGCAAAAAAAAAAAAATTCAGAAAATTTGAATTTTAACGAAATAGAACGGAACTGGCCAAAAATATCCTTCAGTTCATCATCGTGGGGGCCACTATTCTTATTTCTAGTAGTTCGCTACTGCCACACCAACCTTAATTAAAGCTTACCAGCTAAACTTATATAAAACTAAACTTAGCTTATCACCTTTTTGATGCGCTTTAAAATTCTTCAAAATGAACAACAGTACTACGTCTTGGTATAACAAAGAGGGAATATTTGTGCTTGAATAACTTATTGAAGTGCTAGCCTTGGTACCAATATATACTATTTCGATGGTAAACAGGGAGTGAAAATGTCATCAGCCTATTTCTAATCAATTCAAAGGGGAAAAACATCGAAAGCCTCGATGAAGAATGGTTACTGCTGGCGCTCTGAATATCCTCCAGGGCTTCTGTCCCTCAAAAAGGCTGAATTGTGGAGGATTTTTGAGAGGCTTACAGAACCATGCCGATTCGCTGGACTATTAGCAGCACGAAACCTATTACCTGTACCATCACAAAAAAAAAAAAAAAAAAAAAAAAAAAAAAAA